GATGAACTCTCTTTCAGTCATTGGTGGATGCACTTGAGATGCAATATCCCTCCATCGTTGTGCGTACTGTCGAAAACTCTCATAATTCTTCATCCCCATATTCTGAAGCATTGTTCGATCGGGGGCCACATCAATCATGTGCTTGTATTGGCCCAGAAAAGCACTAACCAAATCCCTCCAGGAGCGGACTTGAGAACGACTCAGTTGGTGGTACCACCTTGAAGCAGGTCCAATCAAACTGTCCTGAAAACAGTGGATCAACATTTGATCATTGTTAGCGTATCCAGTCATTCTTCGAATAAACATCGTGAGGTGGGCATTGGGGCAACTGGTTCCCCTGTACTTTTCAAACTCGGGCATCTTGAATTTGGGCGGGAGCACCAAGTCGGGAACTAGTACTAGTTCTGTTGCATCCATCCCGTTGTGAGAGGTTTGTCCTCTCATTCCCTGAAATGTCTCTCTGCACCACTGTTTCAGATTCTCTGGGATCTCGTTCTTGGCTCTTCTCGTCGCTTGGTGACTAGAAATCCTGTTGGGCGAGATAATTGGTTGCGAACTAGCCTGTGCTTTCACACATTTAACTGTTTCACGGGTTAATGAAATCTTTTCTTTGCCTTTTTCTTGGTTGAGCTCAGCCATCTTTGCTACCATTTGGTCAACTAGGTCCTTTTGGTTTTGTAAGATACGATCCACGGTGGTCTTTTGCATCTGCTCCATTTTAACCTCCCACTCAACTTGCATCTTTTGTAAACTCTCGTTCAGCTCTTTCTTTAATTCCTCAAACTTTGCATCCATTCTCAGTACTGTGTGAATGCAATTGCACAGTTAGAAGTGCTTCCTCAAAGTTTCCAGCAAGGTATGATTAATGCATGTAAACATGCTTAAATGAATGTTATGCAAAATGCAACGATGCAAATGCAAATGCAGAAATGTGGATCCCAACAATGAATATTTTAGAACAATTTTCACCAGAAATAAAAGTTTTCACATTACAAGACAGTCCACTTTACAGACTTGACTTCTCTTAGATGTTGAATCTGAAATGGGTCGCTGCTTAATCTTGGATCTTCATCCTTGAAAATGATGCCCCTCCAGCGTTTTGTAAACAGACTCTTTTAATGCCCCGGCGATGCTGAAGTCAGTGCATTACTCTTCGATGAATAACGTCGGAACGATCGTAAATAATACTCTACTGCTGGATTAATCCCCAGACTTCAGTCTTAAATGTTGCACGATCTTCGAGCTCACTGCTTTGTCTCGGATCTTTGTATTTGGAACTGATGCCCCTAAAGCATTCTGTAACCTAACTCTATTAATACCCCAGTGGTGCGGAAGTCAGTGTGTCGCTCCTTGATAAATAGCGATGAAATGATCGTAGATAAAAATCGACTGCTGGATCACTCATCGGATCAGCGGCTCATCATTTTAGTCTCGAACGTTGCACGATCGTCTTGAGCAAGTCTCCTTCTTGTACTATGTGCATTTCTTTTTAGCCTTCGGTGCATGTCTGTGTACGCGACTGCTTGGTTGAAAACTTTTATCTCTTCTTGTGAAAATTTTCTCTCGAATATCCCCTTGCTGATCAACATTTTCGCATTATGTTATGATGATGCAATGTAAAGAAGAATGAAAAAAACAAAAACAACAGAAAATAAATAAGTTAGTGCACACAAAGAAAATAGAAGAAATTAGTTAGTACAGGTAAGACAATCGATATAGATAAAAGTGTTATTAAAAGATGAATATAACACCTACCCATCATGATATCTACCCGAGCATGCTTTAAATAGATAATAGTCCTACCCGTACATGTTATCTACCCAAAATGAATAATTTCAAAAAATGGTCCTAACCCCATGGTATCTAGTTCGCATGCTTTTATTCAAAAAGAAAACAAATTTTACGAAATTAAAACAAAAGATAAGGGTTTAGAAATATTCCTCCTTTGTGTACACCTAGTTTGGGTACCTACTGACGGACAAAGGTTCGGTATGACTATACCTAGGGTGATAGTTCGACGGTTCACTATATGCTTGGTTTCGGCTCTAACGGAAAAGAGAACTCGAATTGTCCTTGATGTCGGTGCCCCCTTGGGCTGCCAAACCCTCGATCCTCACCCATTACAGGTTTCAAACGGGACGAGTTCAATTCGAGGGGATTCATTGTCTTATACCCGTACGAGGAATAAATCCCTACGAAGGTATAAGGTATGTATCCCATGGGTTATTTGCTAAAACTCATACGAAGAATAAATTCTTACGAGAGTAAAGCATTCACCCCGACTAATTTGGATCGAAGCTCGTGTCTAGAGCTTATGTTATGCCAATGCGAGTGATGTGTGTGAGGAGGAACGTACCTACCTTTGACTCAAAACAGAAAAGAAAAACACGACAAAAAACTTGGACCGATCTTAAATAAAAAAAATCAAATGTTAGTATGACAAATAAAAAATGAAGCAATTAAAAATTTCAATAAACGGATCATAGATTAACTAAAGACTCGAACTCATAATTTCGACCACAACGACAATATGTAAGCGACCTACAGCTTGACTCTCTAAAAAAGTCCCCAGCAGAGTCGCCAAGCTGTCATAACCATAATTTCTTAAAACAATTAGATTTTATTTTTAAAAACGATTACGACTTTAATTTGGAAATTTTGGTGATTTTGAATGGATTTGAATAAGATTGAAAAGAGTCGCCATCGACCTTTGGGTTAGGTAGGTCAAATACCTAAAAACGTTTTTTAAAAATAATTTTAAGAAAAATTATCTTATAAGACAAAAATTTGGTCTACGTTACCAAAGATTCCTTTAAAACAGGTTCGGGAGTCGGTTACGTGTGGGGAAGGGTAAACACCCCCACAACGCCCAAAATTGGTACTGTGTAGCTTACACATCGTCGTAAATGGTGGAAATTACAAATTGAATATAAAACTAAAATATGATTTGTTTATTGAGATTTAATTAATTTACTTCGAATTATTTTATCAGAGAAAATTCTTTAATTTGAAAAGAAATCTCGAGATTAACAATCCTCCGTCGGGAAAATTAACTCGTCTATTTCTTATCTTTTAAAGAATATTCTCTCATCATTTATTTAAAAATGTGTATCGAATATAAAATAAAATTTTAATTTTTACATTCACATAAAATAAAGTGAGCATCACTTAAGGTACCACACATTTCAATAAATTAATTAGTAAAATATACTCGAATTGTTACAAGTCCCTATGTCGTTAAAATGCCGTATCGGATCGCACCACTTCGACCAAGTGGTACTTTCCACGCCCATTCTACGCATACGTGTTCTTGAAAATATAATCGAATATTTCTTACATAGATAAAAATATAATGAGAACAAATGTAATTGGAAATACAAATATTTACATTAAATGGAATTAAACACATTATTTACATAATACAAATAACCATGTAATATGTAAAATACATTCATATATAAATGACTAAAATAAAAATAAATAAACATTACAAACCAAAATAAAATACAAAAATAAGTAATTAAGGGACTAAAACAAATTAAAACATAAATTCGTAAGGGCAAACAATAAATTTACCTAAAGTATTTATACTAAAACATTGACCATAATGTAAACAAAGTAAATTAAAAATACTAATTAAAATAAAGAAAGGTAACATTCAATGACTGAAATGAAACATTTGTAAATATTAAAACCAGAATCGAACATAAACAAAAATAGTATGATATATAGCATGAAGGACTGAACAATAATTAAACCAAATACCCAACAGTGACTAATATGTAAAATACATAAATATCCTGTCCAAATTCGAACATTCACAAAAATACACAACACACGAAATTAGTGACTAAAATACAATTATTACAAACATAATGTCCAAAATTCAACATAACAAAAATAGCGTAATCATACAATTATAGGACTAAAATATAAGTTCTAAAAATGAATGCTCGAAATCGAAATAAAATAAATTTCATTTACTGACTATATAATACGGTTACAAAGAATCAGGGACCAAAAGTGACATTAGACCCTAAAAACCCAAAACACGCGGGTAAGTTTACAAAGCTAGGAGGACTAAAAGTGTAGTTATCCCATAACTCGAAAACACGGATGGGGTTGAGGGCAAAACGGTCGCGTTTCAGGTGGGAATTAAAAGCCCAAAACATGGGCTAAATTCTTCTCATCCTTCATTTGCTTCATTTGAAAAGAGAGAAGAGAGATAGAGAGTTTCAGAGTTCTCTGAAACTCTCTCAACCGAGAAAAGGGCCACGGCAGCCGCAGGCTCCCACGGCGGGGCCGACGGTGGCACACGGCAGCGCACGGCTGCCGGAGGAAGCCAAAAGACTCAAAAATTCCTCCGCTCTCACCCTCTACTCGAAAACCAACCCTAATCGGCCTAGAATAAACCCTAACCCCCTAAATCTAGATGGTTACCTTTGAAAGAAGCGAAAAGGCCGCCGGCTTCTGGGCTTTCCGACGATCTCCAAACCCAGGTATGAATATTTCTTTCTCTATTTTGTGGTTCTCAGTTTTTTTCTCTCAAGGTTGTTTGCTTTTTCTTTCGTTTCCCTCTGTTTTTTTTTTTGTATTTTCCTTCTTTTTTTTCTCTGAACCCGAATCCTCTCTTGTTCTTCTCTCTGTTTTTTTTTTTACCAACCGAATGACCCCCCCTCAAAATTGGTACCTTTACTTGATTTATGGTCCATTTTGCTGCGTTTGGTGAGATGATGATGATGCTAGCGTAGGGGTAAGGGTCCCTGATCTTGGTAGGGACAAATTTCCCGATTTATCGGGATTTAGGTATTTTTAATGGGTTTTGGATTTGATTTAATTTGTGACTGATTTGGGTGATATTTTGCATTGTGGATGATACTGGCGACGTGGGAACGGCGGCTGGACCATCGGAGTGGGCCGGAACAGTGACGGCGGCGCGGCTGTCCATTTGCTGTTGCTGGCGGCGGCTGGATGATTTAGGGTTTTGAAACCCTAATTACTTGGGCCAAATCCAGGCCTGGTTTGAGTATTGGGTCTGAACCGGGTCTTGTTGGGCCTTGTTGTATTGGGCTTTGGCCTGCAAAATATGTAAAATGTAATATTAATAATATAATAAATAATAATAATAATAATAATAATAATAATAATAAAATAACGATAAAAAACCCGGACAAAAACGGGTGTCTACAGTACCTTCGCAGCATAATCGTCTGCTAGGTAGATAGAAGATGAACTTAAGCTTGGATGAGCTAAGGGAGGATTTAGATCATGGTGCATATATTGAAGACAATATGCTACCCCCATGATGATCCTCATCCTTGCATTCCAATCAAGATGTTCCATTTCTTTAACTGTAAACAATGAACTCATGCTTTAAGCTCTGGAAGAAAAAATATCAAATAAAATAATTCGTTGCAAAATATATGTAATCGGCAATATTACCATGCAGATGCTCGAAAAGGGTTCCATTTGGAGCATATTCAAACACCATCATCCTGTTGAAGGGTTCATCCTCCTCACAGTAGCCAATAAGGTTGACATAGTTCTTATGGTTGATTCGCGACAATTTATCGATCTACGGAAAGTTCCAACATGAAAAAAGTTAACAATCAGGAGATGCTAAAGTATTAAAAATGGTTCCGGTTATGGCTGCAAAGTAGTCATGTTTAGGTTTTGTGACTGTAAAAACAACAAACCTTTCTCCTATAGGCTTTCTCTGAGCTTTTGGACCAATCTTTTAAAGAAGAAATGCTAGTAGCTGCAACAGCGATCTCAACCCCGCTGGAAAGTGTCCCTTTGTAAACTTTGCAACCTCCAATTGTGTCAATTATATTGCTAAAATCCTCACAGGCTGTTTCGAGTTCCGCTCGGTTTACCTTAGGCACTCCTGCATATTCGATAACAGAAAATTAAAATGTAAACTAAATGTGCAACATGAACAAAATATATTTGAAGTAACCTGTAACAAAAGCTTTCTGAAGCTGTCCGCTTAGTCCGGTTTTCCAGGGACTGATCGTTTTTGCAGCTCGTTTACGATACATGACCAGAAACCCAAGAAAGATGGCCACACAGGGAATGACAATGAGATATTTCCATGAACTACTGGAACCAGACCCTGAAGCATGTTCGGCATCTTCCTCTACATCCGTTGTATCCATCTCCGGAGGAGGGAATTCAATTGGTGAGGGTCGATGTTTATTTTTTGCCTTTGGAACCACGGGGAAACTCCCACTACTTCGGTTAGTTGGCAGAGAAATGATCCGATTGTTGGACGACATGCTAGCAGCAGGCCGAGCTGGGAGGTTCTTCGACTGCTCAAGCAGCCTACGACGTGCAGAAGGAACAACATCCCGTATGTTATGGGCCATTTGTTGATCAGACCAACATACTCAAGAAAAGAACCGTCAATTTTTCCTAGAAGCCATACTCGATTTTCCAATTCGGTAAATAGTTATACTCACAAGGCACATCTTGGCAGCAATCGTCTTGATGTTCGGCCAGCGAGTCCTTTTGCCTTGTAAGAAGGTAAATCATGTGAACGAAGAGAAGTTGAGAACATAAATAACATAAACAACAGTACGGAGAAGAAATTAAAAAGATACATAAGTTCATACTGTGCTAATGGCAGAGCAATGAGGTAATGAATGAGAGCTCCTCTAATCGGCATGAGCAACGAGCCCACTCTGCTCAGTTGTTTCAAACTGCTTTGCCATATGCTGTCAACTTAGGCAATCAAGCAATCAGGAACTCCAACATGCTACATATCAGTGCAAAATATGGACAACATTTTGCAGAATCGAGTTCAATATCCTAGCAAAATGTTCTAATTAAAATTGCTTCATAGGAATATCAACTCCAACAGTAGAATGAGGTTTAGAATGTGTGATTCCACGAAGCCCGGAACCGACATGAGCACTAGAACTAACAGATTAGTTGCCAATACAAACCGAAGATGTAGGTATATTAGATGAAATTTTAGGATGATGAAACTCGACAATGGATCTGCTTTGAGAAACATATAATCTTCTCTTAACAACAAAGATCAATATTGAATTCTACAGCAATGAATATGGCTCTTACCATAGTCCAAACTTCCTATTTACACAGCCGATTTCGGTAGCAGACATCGATGTAAGGTTTTCATCAAACTGCAGTTCGGAGAGCAAGTTAAGCCTCCCGAGACCTGAAGGAATGCTACCTTCCAACTTGTTGTCACAATGTAGCCTAAGGTGTAAGGTAGTTTAGTTAAAGCTAACAACGAGAACAAAGTATAACATATTCCATAAAAAATACGAAAACGACACTTACAAGCGTTTTAGAGACAACATTTTGCCTATTTCAGCTGGAATTGTTCCTCCCAAGTCATTTTCCCTCAAATCCAATAGCTCGAGCTTCATAAGCTCTCCGAACTCCTTTGGAATGGCACCGGAGAAACGGTTTTTGTAGAGAACACTGTGGAATATGCGTTGGATAAGAGGGTACAACAAGATCACAAGAGACCCCAAGCTGAAGTAGACAGACAACTTGAGATAAAACATGAAAAATCCACGGCAAAGATTGTGAATCTTACAGTGATCTTAAGTGGCTTAATTTCCCCAGCTCAGGTGCCAAGGTTCCTTCCAAAGAAAGAGCAGTCAGATCCCTAAAAAAAAATAAAAAATGACCTTAGAAGATTCATGCATTCACAGTTTACACCTCACACAGCTTCTAAACTAAAAACTCTTTATTCATGCACCATGCTCTCCTCTATTAGACCATTCACATACTAAATTCTAATTAGCTATCGAACGAGGAACATATCGACGATTCTTCTTTAAGAGATGTACGTATATGAATATGGATATGCATATGTATATGTATAAGATGGACTTACAGCATTTGTACTTTACCGTCGACACAATGAATCCCCCACCAGAAGCATGGGGTGGTGTCATTGGAATTCCAGTTTGAAAACGCACCATAAGGATCAGAATCGATTCTGGCTCGAAATTCCAACAAAGCCAAACCTTCATCTCCAAATCCAATTAAAATCAAAGTAAAACAAGATGGAGAAAGAAGAAGAAAAGAAACTATATTGAACAGAAAAGGTAAACAAAACCAAAAAGAACAAAGAATCAAACAGAAATACCCGAAGGAATTACCATCAGAATCAACGGCCAAAGACCCTCCAGTCATGAAACTTTGAATCAAGAACAAAAAAGCTTAACAAACCGAGTCCAATTCGTTTCCATCTAATCCCCATTTCCTTATAAGCCAAACGCTGCAATGGCCGAGGTAGCAAACACATCTGCCAACAGCCACAATGCTATACAAAAAATCGCCAGGTTTTTTCCCCTTAACACTATACACCAAACTCTTCTAAAAACGCACTACAAAAAAATGACACACCACACTAACACAAACTCCAAACAAAAGAATCTCTACGTTCCTTTTGGATGACAAGAAAACTTGACACAGACGCAATCTTTTTATCTTTCTTTTTATTAACGCTATTACAATAATACATTACAAACAGATACAGATTCTCCGCCTTAACATATTCATGTTAATTTATCAACTTTAGAAAGCTTAACTTCTCTCCTTACAATCTCCAGAGAAGCTGAAAAGCCAAAAAGCAAAAGAACATGAGAATGACTTTGATAGCAAGCAATCCAATAAAAGGAATAAAGGTCAACAAAATGATATAGGGAACACACTCTAAAGCTAGCTCTTACAGGTGAAGGACCTTTCCCTCCTAATGCATAAAAACTTGAAATTACTATCATAAAAATCCACCATTCTCACGGAAGGTGAACTTATAAAATCCCAGGAGGCGAAAATAGATTATCAATAGAAAATACAAAGAAAATATCTAAGATATATGATAATTTGAAACTTTAGGGGTGACCCCCGGCCAGCTCCCCTCAGTCCATCCCGACGGTTCTCATAATTCATTGGTCTGCAGTAGCTTCTAAATTTGAAACAAGCATTACAATGGTGATGCCACCTTGTAGTATTGCAATATAGTATAATAATCATCCACGATGGACATAGTACACATTAGATTAATCTAATCAGAATAAACACTGCAATACCGATGGTAATGCATAAATGCAACGTAGATATACATTTGAATACCAACAGTTAGAAGAACCAAAACAAAAGCTATCATATCCGGAGATATAAATTATGGTTGGAGTCACGTTTCGGTTGTGTTTATCTTAATTGCAGTTGAAGCTGGTGTAATTGGGATCATTGCAGATATCACGGTTGTGAAATAACGGTTTCGGAACTGTTATATAACAGCCGCCATTCCGGTAACGGACCGTTACTTAAATCTGATCATTTCCCATTCGAAAACAACACAAAACAATGAAGGATGAGTTGAATTTACCATAAAAGGTGCAGAAAGATAAAAATTTCGTCCCTGGTTTGAAGCCGTTGTTGCAATTGTTGGGATTCCGTCAGAAAATGAAAAGAACAATAAAATTGCGTTGTTGATAGATGCGGGAATGGATTGTAATGGAGAAGAAAGAGGTTTTTTGATAGAAGACGAACTCGAAAAAGGCAGCAAAGAAAAAAATATGGAAAAATATTTGGAATTTAAACAACATAAACTAAAATTAAAAAAAATATATCCCAGAATTTTTTTTTCTATTACTGCCCTTTTTTACACGATGATCTCAGAGCAGTAATTCCTTCTCTTCGACCACCATTGCTCTGTTTCTCATCAATGGAGGTTCGAATTTTTTAATTTTTATTTTTCTTGCGAAATTTTCCAGAGATTTTCTTTCTTTCTTTTTTTAATTTTTTATTAGCTGGAGCTTGAGGGCCCCACCAGCTACCCACAAGCTGTGTTCTGTTTTACTTTTTCCCCCTAATTTTTTCACTTCTCTTTTTTAGGATTACAATTAAAATTTGCTATTTTTGAGGCGTATAATTAATTAATTGATTCATAATTAGTGTTGGCGGGAAGGATCATTGAGAAGACTAACTGTCAACTGTGGCCCCCACAAAACAAATTGTAGGAAAAAAACTGAATAACGGTACTGTTTCTTTTTCGGGACACGTTTTTCTCTATTTTATTTAAAATAAATTATATCATTTAACACTTTTAATTTTATAAGGAAATGTTAACGTGACAATTAATAAATTAGCATAATTATTTATTTATTTTTTAATATTTATATATTCTATCAATTTAATCTATTAGTTAAATCTGTGTAATTATATATTTATTTTTAATATTTATATATTTTATCAATTTAATCCACTAGCTAAATCTTCCAACCTGATGAAAAGAAAATCAAACAATAAATAAGGGGCAAATTGACATAATGAATGGGAGGAGCCGAACCTAGGTCACTGGGATGGGTGCGCACGCCCCCAAACCATTTCGCCAAGCTCATGTTTGTGAGTAGGTTTACACAATATTTTATATGTTCATTAATTCCAGAAAGAAGAATTCCCTATGGTGAGAATTGAACTTCGGGTGTGTTTGATAGCTAGAAAATGTTTTCTTCATTTACCTGTGTCTGATAGTTGGAAAACATTTTCCAAAAATGTTTTCGGTGTTTGATAGCTATAATTTGTTTTAGAAAAATATTTTCTAGTGTTTGATAGTGGTAATTGATTTTTTTAATGTAGTTCATTTTCTTAGTTCCTTTTTTTTTCTGCAAAATATTTTACCATCTGATTTTTCATAAAATATTTTCCTGACTTTTCACTTCATAGTAGAAGCACTCAAAAAATATATTTTTTATTTAATATTAATTTAATATTTTAGTATCATTTTAATAAAATATTTAATACTATTATAATAATATATAATGTTTAATAATTTAGTATTATATTAATAAAATACTAATAACTAAATTAAGAATGTTCAAAAGGTTAATTCGTTTACATATTGAATTGAGTTACCAACCAAATTAACTGAACCTTTTTTCTTTAATAGTTAATCAAATCGATTTTTTAAAATATTAACCGAATCAAAATTTATTCATTTTGTGTAAAATCATTTTCTATAAAATTAATTATAGTGTATCAAACAATGAAGTGAAAATGATTTACAAAAAATCATCAAAACACCATAAAATATTTTTCAAAAACTATTTTTTAGAAAATATAATTTATTTTACATAAAACAGTTTTAGGTAATTAATTTTATGTAAAACGGTTTTCATGTAATTCATTTTACGTAAAATAATTTTCAGGTAATCCATTTTACGTAAATTATTTTTTAAAAAATCAATTACAATCTATCAAACAAACTTAGACACTTGATGAGAACTAAACTACTAAAATAAGACTTACATTTAAGTAATAGATAGGTAGATTTTTTATATATATCAAACACTTGTTTGTGCAATATTAAAAGAAAAATTAAATTTAAGATTTATATATTTTTAAAATAAATTTAATTATAAATTTTGTATATTTAAAAAGAAAAGTTATATATAATTTTAAATTGAATCTTTTTCTAATTTAATTATGACTTTTCTTTTAAAATATATTAAATTAAAAATCATTAATTAAATTAAATAGTTTGCTTAAATTTAAATTTATATATATTAAACATAATATATATTTTATTTTAAAAATTATATATAAAATTTAAAATATTTTTATATATAAATTTAAATTTAATATATACAAATTTAAATTTAATCAAACTATTTTGAAATTATATATAAATTTATATATATTAAATTTAATATATATATATATATATTTAAATTTAATCAAACTATTTAATTTAATTAATGATTTTTAATTTAATATATTTTAAAAGAAAAATCATTAATTAAATTAAAAAAGATTCAATTTAAAATTATATATAATTTTTCTTTTAAAATACATAAAATTTATTTTAAAACTATATAAATCTTAAATTTAATTTTCCTTTTAATATTGTAGAAACAAGTGTTTGATATATAAAAAAAAATCTACCTATCTATTACTTAAATGTAAGGCTTATTTTTGTGGTTTATTTCTGATTAAGTCCTGTGTTCATTTCTCATGAGATGCGCAGTGGCTTGGTGTGTGCATAACTTTCTTAGCAACCCAGGTTCGATTCCATTATTTCCTTTGTTGTTTTGCTCATTATTTGCTGTTTGATTTTTCTAATCAAATGATGCAACCATTAATGACATGTGTCACTATTTAATTGGTAGATTAAATTTATTAAATTAAATCATATTTATAATCAAATTGATAGAATATATAAATATTAAAGATCAAATGTCTAATTATACTAATTTTATTAACTGTCATGTCAATATATTCATCGTTTACTCTTAAAAAATGAAATAATCCCTTTAACTTCTAAAAAAATCAATTTAACGCTCGAATTTGAAAAAAATAATTTAGTGTATCTGTCACGTCACCAGCCACATCACCAACCAATGTGGACGATCACGTTAGCACCATGATTCGTCATATTAGCATCGTGAAGTGTTACATCAGCATCATAACTGTTAACGACAAAACTCGTTGATCAAAAGACTATATTAGATCATTTTTCTGAATTCAATGACTACATTAAATGAAAAAAAAAATAAGAGTCACGTTGATTTTTTTGAAAAGTACAGCCACTTTCTTTTTTGGATACGGATATGGATCTTCCACCGTTATGTTTCCATGGACACAAATCACTAACCAGGTACGGATCTTCCACTGTTAGGTTTCCTTTCCGGCGAGTTTCACCGGTTGCTAGCATTCTCAGACTTAGTAGTAGCAGTATGTGAGTCATTGCGAGCCCGCCGGCTTTTTACTTCAATGCATTTCTCCGACCTGTTGTGGTCAAAGGACTGCAATTTCAACAGATGACATTCGATTTTCACGCGGCGTTTAACGGTGTTCAAAGCGACTCCGATCTTCCTCCATCGGTTTCTGTTTGTTGTTCCATAATTGTACTTTTATTCTCGAAAAACATACATTACGCTATATCTGGACTTCAAATCAATTTTAATTCTGGGATCGAAATCATCATTTCAGACTCTCAACAAATAAATTATCTAATGTAGTTTTAAATAATCTTACATTATATCTCGTTAGTGCTTGAAATATTATGTTATCGAACCAATACTCAAAAATAGCAGCGTTGCCGATAGACATCATTAAAATTATCCAATACAATTTTATCACATCCCAGTCAGCATGCTAACATCCAGTTTAGACGGTTTTTAAATTTTCAACAGAAAATGGCGAGTTTGAAACGTATAAACAGTTAGGTAACCATCTTGTAATCTTTAATAGTCGAGTGACTCAACAAAATAACGTCTTATAGTTGAAAGATCATTTTATAACTTTTAATAATTTAGTGACTAAACCAAGCAACACTCAATAATCGGAA